CAACTTCTAAATTGTGCCAATTAACTCCTCGAATCCAACACCTTGCTATATAATTATTGATTTTAGAGCTATTATACAATCATTAATTTATTTACTTAATAAACGGGGTGTTACAATTATATTACGAATGTTTACTTATATAAGCATAATTTTATCTAATCCATCGACGTTTGATAAATTAGAGGTACTGGCTATTTTTCTGATTTAGACATGCTGAACAAGATTGTAAGTGTTGGTAAGGTATGTTCATATTTTGTAATTTCGTCATTTTTATGTGAATATTCTTCTTTAACATTCGTCATTTTTATGTGAATATTCTTCTTTACTATGCAATTTTTTCTTCTTTTATATATAAAATTTCAGATCTAATAATTTGGTATATTTGCTTTTAGATGAACTTGCTACACCGGAGAAGTAACAGTTGAGCTTCATGAAAGTCAGGTAAAAAACCTTTTCCTGTTTATTTACAAACCTTTTTCCCTTTGTTTATGTTTCTCTCTCTTAAATGTTTCTTATCTGTATGAATATAAGCCTTGATTTCAATTTCCCACCTCCTTTCACCTTTCTTTTCGAAGCTCTGATTATGAGGAAAAGATAAGAAGTTTTACTTACATCTTATCTGATCTTTTTAAAATTCAGATGATGGATGATAATGCTTGAATCTGTTTGTCCCGATGCGTTTTTTATTTTAAGGTTTAATGCAGAAAGAAATCAACCGGGGGCACGCCAAGATGGCGGGTCAAAGAAGGTAAAGTAATTCTAAGGGCTATTTTGAGTTGGGTTTCAGTTTTCTATGTTATATATATGCTTGAACTATTAACTTCAAAGGCTAATTAGAAAGGTTTTAAAGAAAATAAAATTGAAATTAGTAGTAATGTGCTAAATGCCTTTTGTACTTCTTTCTTGAGTTTTATTGCTTTGTTAACAAGGAAATATTAAGCTATCAAACTTTATAAGCACTAAATTCTCTATGTTGGTAAAAGATAAGGTTGCCCTACATGCTTGCTTAATTTTCTATTGGTTGAAATGATTTCTTAGCCTTTTTAAATCCAAATACATTGTTCCCATAATTTTTGTTAGGTGCATGTTTAATATTATTTGTGTTAGGTTTCCCTTTTCATGCTTGACATTCTTTATGTCAAAACCCTATGTGCATTTTTATTAAGATTAAATTGTTCATGTTTTGTCACACCCCCAAACCAGACGACGGAAACGTCCAAGGGCTCACGTGACTTAAATTGAATATCATCACAATGAATATACATGAATTATAACATAAACATCACCATGCATCAATATTTTACAACTAACATTGTTCACATAAAGTATATTGTTTTATCATTACAAATTCATAACATAAAGAGTTTGATAGTTTTCAAAGGCACAACACCCTAATCATACTTGGTACTACTCCTCAGCTTACCTGTTACATGAGAATACAAGTTATTTTGAAAACGGTTAACATATGGAATGTTGGTGAGTTCACAAGCAGGTTTGATATGAAAAATGTTTTGTGTAGTTTGAAAGAAAACAACTCAGAAA